CATTGGTTTTAAAACACTGATGGATAACAAAGAACTTTATATAGAAATGATAAGCAAGTCAAAATGATCAACAAATATATATTACTCACATACCTTTCAGACTCGAAGGCCTAAGTTTAAAATACTTAACTAGGTAATAAAGATAATCCTAAATAACATAGTATTTAAAGAACAAAAAGAATAAATGTTAAAAATAGTTAAATCATAGAATCATAGGACTCGAGAGGTCATCTACTCCAGACCCCTGCACTCATGGCAGGACTAAGTATTATCTAGACCACCCCTGCCAGGTGTTTGTCTAACCTGCTCTTAAAAATCTCCAATGATGGAGATTCCACAGCCTCCCTAGGCAATTTATTCCAGTGTTTAACCACTCTGACAGGAAGATTTTCCTAATGTCCAACCTAAACCTCCCTTGCTGCAATTTAAGCCCACTGCTTCTTGTCCTATCCTCAGCAATTAAGAACAACAATTTCTCCCTCCTCCTTGTAACAACCTTTTATGTACTTGAAATATGTAACCTAATCATCTGTTTACTTCAAACATAAAAGATCATCAATGGCTCAACCAAAAAAACAAAACATACATGAATTGATGAGTACTGATCATATCAATGACCCGATAATGCTACATCAAAGGACAGCTATTGAGGGCCACTGGTATGACAGGTACCTAATACACATAGTACTGACTTCAAAATAAAGCATTGAAAAGAGAACCGGAAGTAAAGGAAACTCAGAATAAGGCTTGAAACACATCACAATTCATTTTGTTCTTTTGAAATCCATCAGAAATGCTTATCAAATACAATTTTGCTACAAAAACAATGGAAAAATAGCAAGTTAGCAAAAACTTTTACATATCCACTTCCTGCATATTTAACAAGTTTCCCATTTGGACCTTTTCTGGTTAACATTTGGTTAAGTCTGGAGGACAGCAAGTAAAGATGAGGGACTGCATCAATCATAGTTATTTCTGCCAGGAAATTCCAACTATTACTATCCAAGGAATAGAAAACCATTTTGCCATCTTATTTGCTATTGTATGACATTGTTGTGAGCAATACACTGTGTCAGAGGTTTTTTTTTTTTTTCTTAGCTCACTCTATGTCAAAGCTCAGCATAAGGTCTATGCTTAAGCCTTACTTAAACCGGTTGAATTTCACCCCTACTGAAAATGGAAGTCCAGATGCTTAGGTAAGGTAAGTCAACATAGTCCCATTGGAGGTCAATAGAGTGACACCATTCATCTGATCCAGAACGTCTGTATCATCTAGTTCTACACAATGGAACAGATTTCTTTGCACACATTTATGCGCTAAACTGGTGCGTGCTAAAAGGAAAAATTAAACTACATTCAAACACGAAGACCAGACCAGGTAAAAAACAGCATCATCCCCCCTTCCCTCCCCCGCCCATGCAGGCCTCACTTTTCTGACAGCAAGATTTGATATTTAAACAGCTTGCTATTTCCTGAACTAAAAGCATAAGCTTTAATTTCCATTTAATATATTTTTCTGTACCCAAGACCATTTCATGAAAAACAGTCAGTAAAATCTGAAGTCCAAGTGATCTGGTGGTAAGTGTTCTACAAGTTTTCCCTCTAATCCTCCTTTCCCACGCCCAACTTCGTCTCCATGAATACATAAATTGCAGGCTCACCAAAAATAAAAGTTTTGTTGTCCCCCTGGTGGCATTACAGAAGTCACTATTCTTAAGGCTGCCAGGAGATCACTAAAGATACAGGACTACATCATCACTACTACAATATTATTTCTAGCTGATGAAATTAAGAGGGAATACCTAATTTTATCCAAACAGAAAGAGACAATAGACACATAAAAAAAGTAGCCAACTTTCTAAGAGGGCAATACAATCAAGACTAACAAAAATACAGTGACAAACAGTTGTCAAGGTTTTAAAAAAAAATTAACACATCTATTTACCTACACATGTATTACACCAAAGAACTCTATCCAGAGAGCAAATGATGTAATGCAGCACTGCACACGAGTAAGAATGGAGATAAGCAGTTTAGCAAGGAACGTATTACATTTTATCAAATCAATAACAGCCTTAATAAAATTGACAAAATGTTGACTATGGTTTTGAAAATATCACTTACACTTTAAACCTTGCCTACGCACAGACAACATGGGTTCACAAATTGTGTGTTGTGGTATGCCATCTCATATCTTAAGTGTTCTGATTTATGGCAATACTTAGGACTAGTACGGCAACAATTAGTACAGTGGATGCATCTGTAAAGCTTCCTTCCTACCAGCAGGTATTAAGTTTCTTGAGTAAGTGTGCATGTAGTATCATACACACAGCTCTGCAGATAGAAATCTGTGAACCCACTGAACAAGTACAGTATGACCATTAGCTTTCCTCAAACTGACCTGGAGGCCCATTGATTGAAAGCCCATTGAATCTTTGGCCTCTCTGCTAAGATTGCCAACATGAATACTGAGGAGTGCCAGTTAGGATGGTGTTTTTGGTGTTGTGAACATGGGTTCAGTCGGAACTGAAATGTGACCCCCCCCCCCAACTCATTTCACATGTACAACCAAATGATAGTGGCTTTTAGCTACTATCAGCCATGTCAGAATTTGAACTGCTGAACTAAAATGTATGCATCTGTACCCTCGCTCCCACAAACCATCTTTTTCAAATATAGATACTTCATTATGACTAGGCGAAGAACAGGTTGATTTTGCTATGTTTATGTAACAGATTATTAGCCTATTATGGCTGATCATTAACACTTATGCCCATATGGCACTTTCAAGTGCCATCATTTTATAAACAAATTAAATGGTTGCACAGATGATTGAGATTCTTGTAAACTATTTAAACATCAAAATGCAGAATCATGAAAAAGTAAAGCTCAAGAAATGTTATTTCAATACTGTATCACATTAAATTCTCTGCACTACCACTTTCATTATGTCCCTCATTTTGGGTTGCTGTTCCACATCTTGTCCCACGTTAGGGACTTACCAAGCGGAGATATGACTATAATAAAACATGCCAGAAAGGGAGACAGGTAATGATGACCATGGGATAATCTCTTTGATCTTATTCTGTGCTCAGATATGCAAGCATTACTTTGACTTATGCCAGTGAGAGTTGTGCATGTGCATCTAAGCACAGAATTTGACCCTTACTCATGTTAAAAAGAAATCTAATCAGCTCATACAGAGAGTAGAAAATGGAGCCCCAAACATTTAGGTTCATACCTCAGGAATGAAAAGAGAGTAGTTACAACACAACCTCCCCACTAGCATATATTTTAATAAACTTATCCTAAACAATACTTTGTACTTCTACAGCACCTTCTATCCAAGGATCTCAAAGCACTGAACAAATGTTAGATTTGTGCCACACCAGTCTTTTCCAGATTCAATGTCAACGACTTGAGCTGGTTTTGTGTTAGGTTGATTTTTTTAAAAACGTGTTCACATGAGGCATTTCCGTTTCTTTTGAGCTCAGGTGTGTTCACTATGGATTGGTTTGAGAGTTAGAGCCAAGCCCATTACATCCAAAGTATTTTCAATCAGTTTACTCAAAACGCATGCCCTGACCGTTTAAAATATGGGCCTCAGCTGCTAAAAGTCAAATTAGAAGTTAGAAGGGTTTGATTTTGTTCATATTTACATAATTTATGTCTGCAGGGTATACTGGAAATTGCTGCACTCTTTCGGTGTGGGGTAACTAAGAGTTTGTTAAATTATGACATCACTGACGTCGTCAAATTTAAAGGGGTATCCAAGGGACAACAAATTAGATTTCCACCCTTCCCTTCCCCCTTTACCGAGCCGGTGGAGAAGAGTAGGGTGTGCACAACATTGACCAGCGCTGGGGATAATATTTTGATAAAACCACGGCAGCGAAGTCAACATTTTTGTCCTTTTATTTTAAGTTACAGTGACACACAGCCTAGCATGGCACAATTTCATAGGGGAAGATAATGAGTCTCCACAAGGCTTAAAGCTCAAAGATGCCTGAAGCATTAAGGGAAGTGAAGGGATAAGGTGATGTTTCAATTTAAATGATGTAAGGTGGTTTGTACCTTACTGCATTATGTTTTATAAGCACATGATAGCACACTGCGTTACAAGTCACACTGTAAACTCGGATGGATGTTTATTCACATGGATCCTGAGCCTGACCATTTCCCTTTTGCGAGTCTTTTGCAAGGGGGTGGGGGGGGGTGGAATTATTATCAGCGAATGCCTCTCTCACAAATGGCCTTTGAAGGTCCAGCAGCAGGGGTCATCACCTGCCCAAGCCGGCTTCCTGCCCACAAAGGGACTCCCTGGCCAAGAAGCAGGCTCCCATCAGATAAAGCAGCGACTACAGCCATGAATTCGGTGGGAGATTCTGCAATGCAGAATCCCTTCCAGGAGCTGACTATTGAGTGAGAGAGAGAGAGAGTGTGTGTGTGGTGGGGGGGGAGGGAAGGTCTGCCTGCATTTTCACAGGCAAGGATTTACACAAGGTTATGAACCAGACGGCTTGGCCCCATTGCTGCTCCAGCCCAGACCCAACTGGAACGTCTCTGGCGTGGACGGCTCTGACAGCCCCGAGAAAGGACATCGCCGCTGGTCCCAGCGCCCGGCTAGGGATGATATAGGAGCAAGCAGCGAGCGCACCTGTCCCATCCCCTCTGCTGCAGTGACACTTGCCCGCACTCCCCCCCGATCCGCCCCTGCCATGCACAGCACCCGCCGGGGAGGAGGAGGAGGAGGAGGAGGGAGAAGCAGCCTCTTACCTGCTCCTGCTGCACCTCTTGCCAGCCCTGATTACCCGAGCTCCATTCTCCTCTAACTGGGGGCTGGGGTGGCGGGGGGAGGAAATCAGATCAGCTGGAGCCCTCTCCCTCAGCTGCTGCTTTCAGTCATGGGGTCCTGCTCCTCCTCCTCCTCCCCGGCCGGCCTGGGGGAGCAGCTGCTTCTCCCCTCCTCGCCCTGCAGAAGGAGAAAGGGAGAGACCCACCTCCTGCCGCTGCCGCCTCCTCCCCATGAAGTCACCGGCTGCACGGCCCGCCCCCTCTTCGCCCTGCAGAAGCCGGAGCGGAGATGGGTGGAGCGCTCCTCCCCGGGCAAGGGGACGTGCCAGGCCGCTTGAGTGGCACGCTGGGCCGGCAGCAGCCAGGGGAGGGAGCAGAGCCCGAGCCCGGCTGAGGACGCCGGCGGCTCCCGGCTCCAGCAGCGCTAGCTCCCCGAGCCAGGCAGGCGGCCCCCGGCGCGCTGCGGGCGAGGAGCCGCCTCTGCAGCGCACGTCGGGCGCGCCAGCCTCGCCCTGTCCCCGGAGGAGGGGTGCGGAGCGGCTGCTGGGGAGAGCCGGGCTAGCGGCCGGACCGCGGGGCTCGATCCGGGGCCCGCTACTGGGCTGAGGAGTCCTTCAGGAGCGTGACCCGGGGTCCTGCCGCGAAGGGGGGAGCCCAAACCGGCCCGGGGGTACCCGGACGGGCTGTGCTACCAGCCGCCAGGCACTGCTTGGAAAGCCTGCCGGGGGGGCGCGGCCCGGCCACATTCACCCCGACGCCGGGTTGTGCAGACTGGAGCGGGGGACACAGCCTGGGCTTGCACCGAGCCAGCGCCGCCGAGCTCTTGTGCACGTGGCAGGGATGCGCCCCCTTTCTCCCCGTGCCGCTGAAGGTGCCTGTCGATACAATCTTTCATGCCTTCTAAGTAACGCCCCCGCTTCCTCGGGATGGTTTCGGGATTGCCCTCAGTAATAACACCCCATTTACTTTGGGCTGCAGCATCTTCGGCTCTCTCATGCTTTCACAGATAAACCACTGCTAGCTGAGGTGGTAGAGGAGGGGTGGAGTTCATCTGAGAAAACTATCAACAATGAACTTTTTTTCAAAGGGAGCTTACTTTTCTCTTCGGCTTTTGCCATGAGGTAAACAGCTTGAGAGGCGAGGGAATGGATCAGAGAGTTACACATCTAGACCTGGGCACTCAAGTTCCTACTTAGAACCACAGGGTGAGCTAGAAAAGAGCAAAAGCAAAGGACTTCTTTTGAGTGGGGGTTAAAGAATCATCATGAGGCAAACGGTGGCCTAGTGAACATTAAAAAGCATTGATCAGCACTCAGGGAGAACTAGTTTCCTTAGCTGAAATAGTTAATCTATTGCAGATTGCATACAATAAAAGGACAGAAGTAGGAGTTCTTTATAAATTATTGACCAGGTGCAAAGGGTCCTGCAATATTTTACATCAATAATGCACATCTGGGGGCGGGGACAGACCTGTTTGGGGCGGGGGTAGAGCACATCGATAAAGTTTTGATGGGGGATTTGAAGGTAGCACATGGAAGAGTGAACTAGAATTTAGTCTGATTGACCACTTTATCCCACACTTAAGTTTTATTAATATGTTAAAACTCCCAGCTGGAACCTTAGCAAAGCTTGCCTTTTAAAAAGCACATTCTGCTGCAGATGGCATAAGAACAAGATTCTCCCTCTTTCTTCCAACCCCCCGCCCCCATTCAATTCCCAGCCCCGCTGCTGGGAACACAAGAACTGCTAGTTGTAGGGCTCACAAATGACAGGCATAGCACCAATTGTCATTATTTTGTTCAGTTGCATCCTGGGATTGAAAAAAGTGACAAAATAGATATTTATCTTACATTACCAGGGTTCTGAGATGTATTCCACTCTTGCTCTGTGTGCCTGCACCACATGCATCCAAGATTGGGCTCTTGGGCAGCACGGCCCAAGGGCCCATGCTTGCACTTTGAGTACCCTCTCCCTTTTCTCTCCCCAGGGTGTAAAAGGGTGGGACAGAGCTAATCATCTCTCAGTTCCTTAACCAATACACAATCCAGCTCTTAAAGGACTCTAGTAGTAGGGAGGAGGGTGGATCATGGCATACATATGGACAACACAGCTCAAAGAACAACAGTTATTGTAAGGTATGTAACCATTCATTCAAGTGACTGTCAATATGTACTCCACTCTTGATGACTCAAGCAGTTATCTAATGAGAGGAGGTGGGTGCCTGTTATCTAAATATAGATTGTAATGCAGCTCTGCCAAGAAAAGTTGTCATCTGCCCTAGATACCTCTAAGGGAACAGTGGCCTGTGAATAAATGAACAAAAACTCCAGAAAGAAAAGGAGTACTTGCGGCACCTTAGAGACTAACCAATTTATTTGAGCATAAGCTTTCGTGAGCTACAGCTCACTTCATCGGATGCATAAAGTGGAAAATACAGTGAGGAGATTTATATACACACAGATCATGAAAAAATACACATTGTAAGGAGAGTGATCACTTAAGATGAGCTATTACCAGCAGGAGGGTGGGGTGGGTGGAGAGAAAACCTTTTGAAGTGATAATCAAGGTGGGCCATTTCCAGCACATTTCCAGGAGTTAACAAGAACATCTGAGGTGGGTGGGGGGCGGAATAAACAAGGGGAAATAGTTTTACTTAGTATGATGACTCAAACACTCCCAGTCTCTATTCAAGCCTAAGTTAATTGTATCCAATCTGCAAATTAATTCAAATTCAGCAGTCTCTCGTTGGAGTCTGTTTTCAAAGTTTTTTTTGTTGAAGAATAGTCACTTTTAGATCAGAAATGGAGTGACCAGAGAGATTGAAATGTTCTCCGACTGGTTTATGAATGTTATAATTCTTGACATCTGATTTGTGTCCATTTATTCTTTTACGTAGAGACTGTCCAGTTTGACCAATGTACATGGCAGAGGGACATTGCTGGCACATGATGGCATATATCACATTGGTAGATGTGCAGGTGAACGAGCCTCTGACAGTGTGGCTGATGTGATTAGGCCCTATGATGGTGTCCCCTGAACAGATATGTTGGCACAGTTGGCAACGGGCTTTGTTGCAAGGATAGATTCCTGGGTTAGTGGTTCTGTTGTGTGGTGTGTGGTTGCTGGTGAGTATTTGCTTCAGGTTGGGAGGCTGTCTGTAGGCAAGGACTGGCCTGTCTCTCAAGATTTGAGAGAGTGATGGGTCGTCCTTCAGGATACGTTGTAGATCCTTGATAATGTGTTGGAGAGGTTTTAGTTGGGAGCTGAAGGTGACACTAGTGGTGTTCTGTTATTTTCTTTGTTGGGCCTGTCCTGTAGTAGGTGACTTCTGGGTACACTTCTGGCTCTGTCAATCTGTTTCTTCACTTCAGCAGGTGGGTACTGTAGTTATAAGAATGCTTAATAGAGATCATATAGGTGTTTGTCTCTGTCTGAGGGGTTGGAGCAAATGCGGTTGTATCATAGAGCTTGGCTGTAGACAATGGATCGTGAGGTGTGGTCTGGGTGAAAGCTGGAGGCATGTAGGTAGGAATAGCGGTCAGTAGGTTTCCGGTATAGGGTGGTGTTTATGTGACCATCGCTTATTAGCACTGTAGTGTCCAGGAAGTGGATCTCTTGTGTGGACTGGTCCAGGCTGAGGTTGATGGTGGGATGGAAATTGTTGAAATCATGGTGGAATTCCTCAAGGGCTTCTTTTCCATGGGTCCAGATGATGAAGATGTCATCAATATAGTGCAAGTAGAGTAGGGGCATTAGGGGATGAGAGCTGAGGAAGCGTTGTTCTAAGTCAGCCATAAAAATGTTGGCATACTGTGGGGCCATGCGGGTACCCATAGCAGTGCCGCTGATTTGAAGGTATACATTGTCCCCAAATGTGAAATAGTTATGGGTGAGAACAAAGTCAAAGTTCAGCCAGCAGGTTTTCTTCTGTGACATTATCGGGGATAGTGTTCCTGACGGCTTGTAGTCCATCTTTGTGTGGAATGTTGGTGTAGAGGGCTTCTACATCCATAGTGGCCAGGATGGTGTTTTCAGGAAGATCACCGATGGATTGTAGTTTCCTCAGGAAGTCAGTGGTGTCTGGAAGATAGCTGGGAGTGCTGGTAGCGTAGGGCCTGAGGAGGGAGTGAGCCAGACAGTCCTGCTGTCAGGGTGCCAATGCCTGAGATGATGGGGCATCCAGGATTTCCAGGTTTATGGATCTTGGGTAGTAGATTGGAACCCCGACCTGGGGTATTCTAGGGTGTGTCTGTGCGGATTTGATCTTGTGCTTTTTCAGGGAGTTTCTTGAGCAAATGCTGTAGTTTCTTTTGGTAACCCTCAGTGGGATCAGAGGGTAATGGCTTGTAGAAAGTGGTGTAGGAGAGCTGCCGAGCAGCCTCTTGTTCATATTCCGACCTATTCATGATGATAACAGCACCTCCTTTGTCAGCCTTTTTGATTATGATGTCAGAGTTGTTTCTGAGGCTGTGGATGGCATTGTGCTCTGCACGGCTGAGGTTATGGGGCAAGTGATGCTGCTTTTCCACAATTTCAGCCTGTGTACGTCAGCGGAAGCACTCTATGTAGAAGTCCAGTCTGCTGTTTCGACCTTCAGGAGGAGTCCACCTAGAATCCTTCTTTTTGTAGTGTTGGTAGGAAGGTCTCTGTGGATTAGTATGTTGTTCAGAGGTGTGTTGGAAATATTCCAGGTGGCTGCTTTACAAGTTTCGGAAATGGGGATGCTTCTGAAAGGCGTCACAGAGACTGAGTGTGCCCTTCTGGAGAGATCTTAAATTTGATCAGAAGGTTCTAATTTAGGTAATTGGTAGCATAGTTTAATGCAGTCTAAGATACATTTAGATAATCACCAAGAACAAATGGCCTGCCCTTTCATTCTTTCAGCAAGTAATCTAGAGGAGATTCTGAAAGTCTTAGATCTATTCAAGTAAAAAGAGAGGAGTGTATATACTCAGGCCTTGTCTACTTTGGCACTTTACAGTGCTGCAACTTTCTCACTCAGGGATGTGAAACAACACACCCCTGAGCACTGCAAAGTGCCAGTGTAGACAGCTCTCTACCACTGCTGCTGCTGCGACTACACAACCACATGAAAGCACTGCCCTGGCAGAGCTTTAATGGTGCTAGTGAAGATATGCCCTCAGTGATCTTAATGTGGTCTGAGAATCCTTTAGTGAATGATGGAACCTCGAGAGGTCATCTAGTCCAGTCCCCTGCACTCATGGCAGGACTAAGTATTACCTAGACCATCCCTGACAGCTATTTGTCTAACCTACTCTTAATCTTCAACAATGGAGATTCCACATCCTCCTTAGGCAATTTATTCCAGGCTAGTTAAGCACTAATCTTTAGGAATTTTTTCCTAATGTCCAACCTAAACTGGCCTTGCTTCCATTTAAGCCCATTGCTTCTTGTAC